CGTTGATATATATATATATATATATATATATATATATATATTAAAGGATTTTTTATCCAGTATTATGTCTTATTGCTATAAAAAATAATTTTTAGTGGGTAGACGTGTTTCATTTTCTATCCCCTTTCTTATCTTCATTTACTTAAACAGTGAAATTAATAAACATCCAGTCTCGATTGTGAAGTCATGCTAAATAACAATTGTGTTTTTGACAGGAATCGAACCTGCATTTTCAGTTCCTTCTGAAGTCTACTTCAGCTATATACTACTAGCGCTTGTTCTTTCTTACTTTAATACAACTCCACACAGTAACCCTCTAGCTTGAGGGTCTCTTGGGCCTTGTATTTGGTGAATGTTAACAAAAAAAAAAAAGAGAAATAAAAACAATTATTATTTATAGGATGTTTTTCAATACTTTAAAATGATTTTGTAATTTAATTCTTTCAAAAGCAATTACTTCATGCGCAATAATCGTGTAATCTGAATTTCGAGAAAATTTTCTCTTTAAAATTATTTCTACGCTGACTAGTCAATACTTAAAATACAGTACACAGAGTCCCTTGTAGAAAGATTACTTTCAGTTTCGAGATAAGGGCAGAGGCGGATTGGATTCCCAAAACGGCAGCGGCAAACACTTAAAATCAACCCATAAATGGATGCTTTAATGCTTGCGAGAGCTGCGAGCTTAAACAACCGAGGATTTCTTTTTGCTATAAGCCCCCGAGAAAAATAATATTGAATCTAGAGAGGCCAATCAGGTTATCAGCCTAGTGACTAGGCAGTATCTACCCACAGGGATTTTCCCCCGGTGTGTCTTAGTGGCCTAATAAATCCTTGGATAAGAGTTGGCTTACTTGGTGAATTAGGTAAGGGCTTGTTTTCTCATAACTACCAGAACTTGGTAATCAACCTCATATGAACTAAAAAACAAAATAAAATAAATAAATAGTTAGAAAATGCTTAAGATTCGAATTCCGTTTTCTGAAACTGGTAGGTAAGCCCTTCCCGTTTTAAGAAAATGATATAATATGATTGTTTTAATGTTAACTATTATAGTATGTTATCTGTCTATATCCTTGATAATGGCTAAAAGTATAGGCCCGGGGTTATTTCTACGAATTACAGAACATTTGGACTTGTCAGAATACAAGAAAAATTAAGTAAAAATCTTAATCGCAGCACCTTGTCTGTTCGTCTTTATTGAAACATGTATAAAAGATGGGTTGCTGCCTAAATACACACATTCACTCACTCATTCTCTCTCTCTCTCTCTCTATATATATATATATATATATATATATACAAGTACACACACATACATATATATATATATATATATATATATATATATATATATATATATATATATAATACAGAGGAAGCAAAATTAGGTATATGATAATGAAAACATATTGTATTGATTATACAAACGTATCAATAATAAACATATCAATCCCTGAAATGTTCAAACTGTTTGCATCAGTCATTCACAGACTCCTGTTTACCTGCAAAACATTTTCTTATGCATTAAAAAATAAAAAAATCATAATAAATGTATTATAATAAACATTATAAATGTAAAAATATTAAAAGGATTTTAATGAATTAAATGAATTCTAGAACCACTATTGCAATACTGGTATAATGCTTACTGTATACCTACTTCTGCAGCCCCCTGTATATAAAATTATTTCCATTTATTTTGAATTGTTTTCATTTATAGTGAAGGGAGATAATTCAAAGGATAACTTTAAATTTAATTTTAATTTTAGTTTAATATTCAGAAAGTATCGAACATAAATAAGAAAATGCAGAACAGCATATAGCTTTTTATGTAAGTAGAATGCATTTGCAACATTGTTTAATCTGGCGACATTTTTGACGGCATAGTTAAATTAATAATAATAATTATCATAATAATAATTAGTATTAGTACTAGTAATAGTAGTATAAGCCGTCAACAATGTACTTATTGACACTGACATTTCAGAGAGAAACCAACAATTGGGTGAAAATTGTCCAACTAATTACTGACTAATACTTATTGTTTTTTTATTTGACTTTTGTTTTGCGAAGATTTTCACATTTAATGACCTCAGAAACCGACATTGTTAATCAGGGCATAAAACTGTGAACATCGCATTGTTATGAATTCATCTGCTTGTTTCAATAAAGACACTAGCCATGTCTCCACGTCCCCAAAGCAAGCGAAATCGGTAGCGTCCTGATGGCCGTAAAGTAATAGGTTCCAGGATTCTAAAAAATAAAAAAAAGTAATTCCCTCGGAAGAAATAAAAACTATCGTTTTTTTTTCTTTTTTGAGCCATGTATTACTAATAGGGTCTAAAACCGCAATCTTCGATATTTGATTTAAGGCATATATCATTCACGAAAAGGATTGCAATTGTTTTTTTTTCTTTTTCTACGCATCAATCTACATCAGAATCAATAATAAAATGAGTATGCATGAAAAATTTTGAAATTTCGCATTTTTGAGCTTTGTATTACTACTAGGGGCTAAAACCGCAATTTTTGATATTTGATTTAAGGCATATATCATGCAGGAAAAAGATTACAATTGTTTTTTTCTTTTTTTTACTGTTATCTTCAAACTATTATCGAGAAAAAAATATGCCGTATTCATATTTAAGTTCTTGTCTGTATTTCGTTAGACGCGGTGTTTGATCTATGTAGATTCTTTTTTTTCGGAGGAAATGATGTGTGTCTGGTGTAATGGGCAGCGGCTCGAAATAAGAAATTGGACAGCCGTGTTCGAATTCCAGTCGAGTTCATTACATTCACTTACTCGCAAATACCCTTAGAAAAGGCATTAATCCATCCGTCCATGGACTAAGTAACAAGATTTGTATCTGGAAAATTCATTGTTATACTCCTTTTTTTTTTAGTTATCCATCATTGTCTGATCATACCTATCTACCGATCGATTGATTGACGTCTGTCTGTTAATATCTCTCATCATCATCATCATCATCTCTCTCTCTCCCTCTCTGTTACATAAGATTTTTATATGACGTTCTCCTATTGTATCCCTAAAATTCAAACCTATTAGACATAATAATAAAACTCAATAAGGTTGAACCTAGTATTGTATTCACACACGAATTTGAAATAAACAATTCTCTACCTTTCCTAGACGTCTTATACGCAACAACGAAAACTTAGACTTTAAACCAATAAACAAAAATGATCTAATCAACTTCTATTCAAACCTTAACCAAAGAGTAAAATCTGGACTAGTCATAGGATTTTTACTTTAGAGCCCTTAGGATATGTAGCCCGGAATACCTAACACACTTCCCACTAAATTCGTAAACAAATTAGTCATCCTTAATACTAGGATCATTACCACCACCTTTAAGACAATCGGAGATATAATTAGGAAGAAAAATAAGCCCAACACCAATTCAAATGCCGGAATTTATCAAATAAATTGTTTACAATTCAAAATGTTTATGTGCAGGAGACATCAAGTGATGTAAAAGCCTGCTTTTATGAACACAAGAGAGACTTGCGTTTGGACAATCGATCTAACTCTTGTTTTATATCGAAACGATGCTGGACATTGCTTTGATGATGATGATGATCATCATCATCATCTCTCTCTCTCTCTCTCTCTCTCTTTCACTGCTACCTAAGATTTTTAGATGAAGTCATCTTATTATATTCCCAACATACAAACCTATTAGACATAATAATGAAACTCAATAAGGTTGAACCTACCATTGAATTCACATACGAATTTGAAATAAACAATTCTCAATCTTTCCTCGATATTTTATTTATACGCAACAATGAGAAATTAGAATTTAAAGTTACTGTAAGCCCACAAAGAACAACAAAAAAAATTAATCAACTTCTATTCCCACCACATCCAAAGAATAAAATCTGGACTAATCATTGGATTCTACCTCAGAGCCCTTAGGATATGTAGCCCTGAATACCTAAATGAAGACGAGACATATTGAGAAAACTTTCAAATTTCTCCACTATCCACATGATTTTATCCTCAACGCAAACAAACCAGCTTACAAAATCCACAAAATCAAAAAAACAGACATCACCAATGACACTTCTAACAAAAATTACACAAATTTCTAATCCTACCCTCCAACACACTTTCCACTAAACTCGCAATCAAATTAGTCATCCCTAATACTAGGATCGTTATCACCACCTCCAAGATAATCAAAGATATAAGTAGGAAGAGAAATAAACCCAACACCATTCAAATGCAGTGATTTATCAAATAAATTGTTTACGATACAAAAATGTTTATGTGGAGGAGACATCCTGTGGTCTAAAAGCCTGCATCTACAAACACAAGAGAGACTTGCATTTGGAAAAACAATCTAACTCTCTCGTTTTGCATCAAAACGATGCTGAATATAACTTTGATTTCACTAATGCCACCCTAATTAAAAAAAGAACATAATTCTTTAAAAAGAAAATAAATTGAAAATTTAATAATAACATTATTAGTAACTATAAACACACACCTAAAACATTACATTACATCGCCACCTTTCTTTCTATATATATATGAATTTCCCACCACTGTAATTTAGTCTCCCTGTGCCTTTTCTATAAATACTTTCATCGTAATTGTTCTGATGACCTTTCTTCTATGGTACCTAGACTAGACCAGATAGGTCTCATCAATTTACAGTTGAATTTGTTAGATGTAACCGTAAGTTCTATGCTAACAGTTTCTTCTCTTGCGCTTCTCACTTCTGGAACTCTCTCCCAACTTCTCGCTTTCCAGTCAAGTTTGATCTTCAAAAATTTAAATTCAATGTTCATCGTTAGCTTCTGTCTTCTTAATTTCTGTTCTTTTATTGTTCTTGCGTTTAATAATGTGTTTTTTTCTTTTTCTTATATTCTTTCACACTCAATAACCCCTCGATGTCTTAGTGGCTTTGTTGCCTTGCTTGTAGTGAAATGATTTAAAAAAAATAAAATAATATATATGACTACTGTAAAATCACGTTGAAAATACCGGTTCTCATTCGATTACCGAAGTTAAGCAGCGTCGAGTTCGGTTAGTACATAGATGGGTGTCGCTTGAGAACACCGGATACTGTATGCAACCTCCTATAATCCGAAACATCTTTCTTTCGGCTTCAAATAATCCACAAAGGTTTGACAAGACGTAAAAAATCCCCCAAAAAAAAAAAAAAAAAAAAAAAAAAAAAAACCCCACTGAAAAAGTCAATTTTTTCAGGCGTATTTCCTCGCCAATGTTGCTTGTACCGGAACAGTGACCCAAAGAAGGCTGAAGAGTAATCGGCAGAAACGATCTTAATCTTTATTATTTTTTTACCAAACACTAGCATATTATTGCAAAATTACATGGAATGATATCTCACGTCTTCAAGGTAAAAGATGAAATTCTTAATTTATTGTTATAAACCGGGGGGAGGGGGGAGAGAAGAAGAGGCAAACCTGCTTAAAGTGAAAGCCACATAAGACAAAGTTCACATGAATGAGAGCCACAAGACATAAACAAAAATTATACATAGGTTTTTTGTTACATTAAATTTACGTTTTAATTCAACGGAGTCTCACTTCATACCTAGTACATCATTATAAAGCTTGAAATGTTTCTTATTTACCTTTTATATTAACTGTGATAAAAAAAAGAGCTTAACCAACATACACGAACCATATATTAAAGGTCGAAGAGCCGCATGTGACCCGTGAGCTTCGGTTTGGCCATTCCTATTATATGAGGACTGCTGCAGTTTTGGGATGGGACGACTAAATTGACTAAATGGACGTGGGAGTAAATACTTGACAACTGATGTTAAGTGGACATAACTTAGATGTCCAATTTTCTTTTGTTGTCTGTTTCTTTCATTCTCTTTTAGATAAACAGTTTATTTGTCAGTCCTACTTTTCTCGGCTCTTTACATTGAGCGGTAATTTTGATGTGGCGTTTCCGTATTTACATCTCTCCAATGGATACAGAACAGCCGACAATCTAAAACAGCGTTTCTAAACCGGTGAGCCCAAATGCACTGAAAAGTAACCAGAAGAGTAATTTATGAATTAATTTTATATTTAAAAAAAAATCTTTGTTTTTTTAAAAGCTAGAGACACCGTCGCTTTTCTCTTAGCGAAAATAACAATGAAACGCGTTAGCTTTACCAAATCGGTAGACTTCATCGACTAGAAGTCTTCTTGGGTCAAATATCGCCTGTTCCAGCACGCGTTTTACTATTATTGGAGGATTAAAATAGATCCTTAAAAACAAATATAGAACTTTTTGTGGGGAAAATTCAAGTTCTTATCTCTAACAATGGTTGAATGTCAAGTTCACTTGTTGACAGACATTCTCAGCACTAGAGAAGTTAGGTGCATCAGCAGGTTGACCTTAAAGTTGTACGCCAGGTGATGATGATCCGCTCCTCACAGGATGTCAGCGGCTGCCCCCAACATGTAAACAAGTGGTCGATCCAGCTGCGCTTAGGATGTGTCCCCGTTGAACAAACCGATAACAGAAAGATATATAAGCACCGACCTGAGAGGGAAAAGAAGATGTCTCTTACATCGTCGCGAGAAGACTCCAAGTTCAGAGAAAACCGCAAAGTCAAACACCTACTCACCAATATTAATTGACGAAGTCCGGAGTTAAATAAAGAATAATTCTGTGTTTTAGAGGTTTAGCCTCGTGTTCTTATTGGACTGTACGACGAAAACATTGCAAATGCAAATATTCCGATCATGTTTTCTTATTAAAATCTTTTATTCATATCTAATTATAGTATTCAATCTTCCAAGTGTTTTACAATTTTATATTAATATTTTGCACCAGAGCCAGTGAAATCCTCCACCCTCTTGAATCTACTATACGGCCTCCCCCACAAGACTACATCTCATTTTTTATAAAGTTGTTTTCATATAAAATACAAATTTGATTGTAACCTAATTATGCACAATAATGCATCACATACAATATAGGTGAACAATTCAACTAGAACAAAACTAAATAAATACAATGTATCTAAATACAAATTAGAGACATGTCATAATAGACAGGAATTTAGGTAATAATAGTACAGTAAAATAACACCGGTAAAAGTGGAAAAATAAGAAAAATGTCACAAGTGAAAAAACAGGAAAAAAAATAAGTTTATTGAAATATAGACTATTACCAAAAAAGTTTGTTTTAAATGAAACCTACTTTTTAAAGAAATATATATAACCTTTTATTTATTTATTTATTTTTTAATATTAGCAATATATATATATATATATATATATATATATATATATATATATATATATATATATATATATATATATATATAATTGTTTTACCTCCATTTGTTAATATGAATTTAACTTTAAATATGTATTTAACTTTAAGTAACTTAAAATTAACCAGCTACTGGTGCTTAATTTTAAGCTGTTTAAAAAGTCTGTTTTTTACTTGTGCCATTTTTTCCCTATGTTTTCACTTGTGTCTTTTTTTTTCTTTTTTTTTACCGGCGTCATTTTACCGTGCCATTATCATCTGTGCCATTGTTACCATTCACCAGTAGATAGATCATTCCATCTTAAATGAATGAACAATGTTTTACAGCAATTTTTAGCATCAACTTGAGATTTTTCTTGTTAAAATGTTGACGAATCTTAACGCATTCAACATTATGGATAAAAATGGGGAATTTTATATAGTGTTTTTCCGAGACTTAACATGATTTGGACGAGAAAAAAAAGGCCCCAGAATGACGTCAAAATTCGTGACAATTTTTCATCTTTTTAATAGTCAGTTGTGCACTGTTTAATTTGTAACGTATATAAATGTAGGCAGAAAAAAAGGAAATGTTGAAAAGATAACGATGGCCACAAAGCACTGTCTGAAGCCCCAATCCACCAATCAAGGGTTTTGGGTGTAGTACGCACCGGCCCAGTTGCATCACCATTATAACAGATTACTTTCTGTAGAAATGTCTTCTTTTGCCTATTTATAAAGCAAAAGTGGTGGTAGGATGATTTGGGTTCTAATTAAGATTCATTAATTGCAAATCATGAAAGAGATAAGATTTTACACGTACAAGATAAATAAGTACCTTAGAAGAGAGAAATTCATGAAAATGAATAAAGATACATTGTTTTAAATATAGCCCTCATGATGGGAGTCACCAAGTGCTAGTTACGTTGAATTGGAAAAGTCAAAGACTTGTTTATATTACTGCACCTGTGAGTTATAAACAAGCAAAGGCAGGGAGGGAAGTAAACAATAGGCACTATTGAATTGGTTGGTCAATCGGAGGGTTTTTTGGTGGAAGAAAAATTAATTCTGTTAGAACTGAGTTTCGGACAACAGGAAAAGAAGATTTAACAAAAATTAATAGAATTACTCTTTATTTAACTGGTCACCGGAAGTTGAGGCGAGGGAGGAGCATCGCTCTCATAATGCTGGATACAGGAAATATGGGTTCTACATTGGGGAGGAGAGGAGAAATTTGGGTTGTACATTGGGCTGGATACAGGTTATACGTTGTGCGACGTGAAATGTGGGTTGGAGAGAGGAGGCATTGGGAGACGTGAATTGTGTGTTGTACATTTGACTGGAAACGGGAAATTTGGGTTGTACATTGGGCTGGATACAGGTTATACGTTGTGCGACGTGAAATGTGGGTTGGAGAGAGGAGGCATTGGGAGACGTGAATTGTGTGTTGTACATTTGACTGGAAACGGGAAATTTGGGTTGTACATTGGGCTGGATACAGGTTATACGTTGTGCGACGTGAAATGTGGGTTGGAGAGAGGAGGCATTGGGAGACGTGAATTGTGTTTGTACATTTGACTGGAAACGGGAAATTTGGGTTGTACATTGGGCTGGATGCAGGTTATACGTTGTGCGACGTGAAATGTGGGTTGGAGAGAGGAGGTATTGGGAGACGTGGTGTGTTGTACATTTGACTGGAAACGGGAAATTTGGGTTGTACATTGGGCTGGATACAGGTTATACGTTGTGCGACGTGAAATGTGGGTTGGAGAGAGGAGGCATTGGGAGACGTGAATTGTGTGTTGTACATTTGCCTGGAAACGGGAAATTTGGGTTGTACATTGGGCTGGATACAGGTTATACGTTGTGCGACGTGAAATGTGGGTTGGAGAGAGGAGGCATTGGGAGACGTGAATTGTGTGTTGTACATTTGACTGGAAACGGGAAATTTGGGTTGTACATTGGGCTGGATGCAGGTTATACGTTGTGCGACGTGAAATGTGGGTTGGAGAGAGGAGGCATTGTGAGACGTGAATTGTGTGTTGTACATTTGACTGGAAACGGGAAATTTGGGTTGTACATTGGGCTGGATACAGGTTATACGTTGTGCGACGTGAAATGTGGGTTGGAGAGAGGAGGCATTGTGAGACGTGACTGTGTGTTGTACATTTGACTGGAAACGGGAAATTTGGGTTGTACATTGGGCTGGATACAGGTTATACGTTGTGCGACGTGAAATGTGGGTTGGAGAGAGGAGGCATTGGGAGACGTGAATTGTGTGTTGTACATTTGACTGAAACAGGAAATTTGGGTTGTACATTGGGCTGGATACAGGTTATACGTTGTGCGACGTGAAATGTGGGTTGGAGAGAGGAGGCATTGGGAGACGTGACTTGTGTGTTGTACATTTGACTGGAAACGGGAAATTTGGGTTGTACATTGGGCTGGATGCAGGTTATACGTTGTGCGACGTGAAATGTGGGTTGGAGAGAGGAGGCATTGGGAGACGTGAATTGTGTGTTGTACATTTGACTAGAAACGGGAAATTTGGGTTGTACATTGGGCTGGATACAGGTTATACGTTGTGCGACGTGAAATGTGGGTGGAGAGAGGAGGCATTGGGAGACGTGAATTGTGTGTTGCACATTTGACTGGAAACAGGAAATTTGGGTTGTACATTGGGCTGGATGCAGGTTATACGTTGTGCGACGTGAAATGTGGGTTGGAGAGAGGAGGCATTGGGAGACGTGAATTGTGTGTTGTACATTTGACTGGAAACGGGAAATTTGGGTTGTACATTGGGCTGGATGCAGGTTATACGTTGTGCGACGTGAAATGTGGGTTGGAGAGAGGAGGCATTGGGAGACGTGAATTGTGTGTTGTACATTTGACTGGAAACGGGAAATTTGGGTTGTACATTGGGCTGGATACAGGTTATACGTTGTGCGACGTGAAATGTGGGTTGGAGAGATGAGGCATTGGGAGACGTGAATTGTGTGTTGTACATTTGACTGGAAACGGGAAATTTGGGTTGTACATTGGGCTGGAGACGTGAAATTTGGGTTGTACATTGGTCTGGTAACAGGAAATTTGGGTTGAACTTTGGCTTTGACAAGAGATAATTTGGGTTGTACTTTGGCCTTGACAGAGAAAATTTGGGTTGTACATTGGGCTGGAGACAGAAAATTCTGGTTGTATTTCATATTTTCAAAGCCGGTTTATTACTCTGTAGTAAATATGTTATTTTAGTATATGTTATGAAATCTGATTTTCTTTTGAATTTTTTCAGTTCGGCGGTAGTGTATCGTTGTCGGTATTTAGACGCACGCCCTTGACAAAACGAAATGTGACACAAAGTCGAATTTAATCTGGGTTTATCGGCAGTACTGTGGAAAAATTTTCGAAGTCCCCTCGGCACTTCCCTATTTATGGAACGTCTCAGGCGATGGGCAATAAACCCAGCCCTCTCCTGAATGAGAAGTACGGCCTGGTGGGGATGAACCCCTGGAGCTTGGACAAATATTATCAGCAGAAGAGTTACCTCATCTGTCGGCCAGAATACCATACCCGCGAATCATATTCGATATCTTCTTTCCCCTCCACGCAGGTAGGATGAAACACAAGGTCTGCTTAATGTGGGGACCCCGAGAGCGTGCATCTGGGCCAGGTTAAAAAATATCCCAGAAAAATTAGCGTAGGTTGGACTGGCATCGGTATTAATACCAGATCCCCACTCTCTAGTGCAATGAGGGAGGTACTGCCGTGGGCACCTATTCCCTGTGACCGGGCACCTCTCAATTTTTTTGGCTGGACTTTGTCCGAAGAAAAAGACACAATTGAATTCAGCTCTGTTCGAAGTCATAGACACATCTGAGAGATGATATGCGAATCTTGCGTGTCCGACATGCAAGACTTGCGTATCATATTCTGCCCCCACCTGCTGCTTGGGCACTTATAAGAGGTGTTTCATTAAGACGGATTATATATAAGGGTGTTTCATTAAGAAGGATCAAAGTCAGCAGTAAATAAATCAGTGTTATTAGTGAAAATTTATTTAATTTTCTATTGGATCATGTTATTTACGTCATGGAAATTATGTGTGAAAAATAATATCGCCCAAATGTCTGCCAAATCTGAAAGAAAAAGAAAAAAAATATCATTAGACGCTTAAACTTAATTCACATTTAAAATCAGCCCAAGTTATTGGAACACCCTTCATAATCTCTATGCCTTAGTTATGCTAATTAGGCACTCATGTATATATTACATGTAGTCTTCTTCTTGCCACTATAACGTGATTAGAGAAGTTGCCAGAGATATCACGCATAACCTAAGAAGCCGGTCTAAATCAATTAAGTTCAATCATGATTATTACTATCAAGAGCAACTGTGATTAATATGATTAGCAAAGGCCTGATGTTAGATTTTTTGGCTGCGACCAATATCTGATCTTGTATGTATCAAGTCCTGAAGTGAATCCCGGTGGGTAAAGTAAAAATAGAAAAATGCCGTATTCGCTGGCTCGGTCACATCTTGCGACAACCTAATGGCCACCCCACTATAATCATCCACAATTTCGACCCGCCTTCTGCAAACTGGAGAAAACCAGGACCTCCATCAGATCAAATTGGAGTTGAAGGATATTCTACAAAGACCGTCATGGCTGGAGGGACAAGGTGGCTCTCGTGGGCTCAACACTTTTATGGCATGAGATTTAGTAGCTACTGAGGTGAACCCCTCTTCACCACCGTTTATATCGTCACATTTTGTTACCGTTTAACTATAGGTTCAAGTATATCGTGAGATAAAAAGGTTGAAAATCATTGGTCTATACCAGTGCTTCAACGGGGTGCATATGGGCCCCAGGAGTCCATCTATCCTTATTGGGGGTCCACGCAAAAAAATAGAAAATTAGGGGACCACAGTAATATCTCTATTGCCCATAGAGTAATTTCACTTGAGAACGCTTGTTACAACTGAAAATTGAAATTTCTACAGTAATCTCCGCCATATTAAAATACTAAAAATAGAAAAACAACTCTAAATCTAGCAGAAAAACGAGATCAAGGGATGTAAGTTTTAGCGTTTCTTTTACTCTATTGGATGTCTCCATTGTAACAGTTGAATAAAAACTGAGAAAGGTATATAAAGGAAAATTATATATATATATATATATATATATATATATATATATATATATATATATATATATATATAACGGAAGATTATATAAACATTATAGTTTATTATATAAATTTATTTAATGTATTAATAATAAATAATACTATTAATTTCAGATATTATTAAAATAAATAAAATATCAATATATTAATATAAATTTATTTCTGTAGTAATTGACACGACATTGTGCTGTCATTAATGGAGCCGAATATAAAAACAAACCTCGCAGAGCAGAATCAATCACAAGGATCTCATTGAATAAATTTGCACTTTTGTAAAAATTAATTAATTATGGTTTATCATAAGTTATTTTACTAGTGCACATAAATGTTCTATAGAATTTAGTTGTTAAACACAAGTTTATTTTCATTAAATTAGTTTTACTTCAAAATAAAGCATATACATTTGCTATTTCTATAATACAATTCCTAAACTTACCTATTAGTAAAAAAAAAAAATCAAATGATCTTTTTTTTTCATCGAATAGTTATGGGGGAGCCACAAAAATAAAATTAAAAATTAAAAGTTAAAGTGGTTCATGAGTAAAAAAATATTTGAGAACCCCTGGTTGAGCAAAATGGTTCTAAATTTCCCGCAAGGCTTCTCAATGACGTACTACGGTGGATCGATTGCACAATTAATAAAAAAAAAGTTGCACTTCGAAGACGTTTCTAAGATTTCCCTAACATTGATACTGAGAACTTTCGCGTCCATCGAATATTCCTACAGAGTGACTGCCTTGGGGAATAATGTCTAGAATATTCTATATCACAGTTCGTGGCCCCCGATGTGAACTAAATAAAAACCTAATCTTAACCCGAGATAACTCAAGGGAATAGGTGTTTATATAAAATAAGGGATTTCTTTATAAAGATAAGCCAGTTAAGTAAGAACATACTTAGAAGAAAAACAAAAAACCCGGCAAAGCCTGGCCCGAATTATCAGTGGCCAACCAAGGAACTGGCAAGACGAAAGTCTGTGTTTGTGTGCGCGTGAACATTCATACTACTACACTCAACACTGACAAATGATCTCTACAACGTTGTATTATTCTCTTTAGCGCACTTTAGTGTTATTCTTTGTATTAGTCATCCCAAGAGTCACGAGTTGTTTTTTTCATTGGCTTTTTAGCTTAGGCTAATGGAAAATACCGTGACGAGAAAACTTAAGGCGTAAAATTAATTTCAGGCGTTCCAGCACAATTGTGAATATCGACTAAGCTTCGCTTAATTTGGCACAAGGATATAAAAGCTGAGCTCCAGAGAAGATCGCACTTCATTCATTTATTCATTAATGGCTTTCAAGAAAAAGCTTGCTCACCTTCTCATAAGTGAGACGTCCAAATCAATATGAACTCTTTCATTCTCAGATTTCATCTATCATGCCCCCTTTCATATCTATCTATCTATCTATCTATCTATCTATCTATCTATCTATCTATCTATCTATCTATCTATCTCAGTTTGTTCTTATCTACTTATCGCACTCTTTTTATCTATCACGGTCTGAATACACCTGTCTTTCTCTCTGTCAATCGATCGATTGATGTCAGACTGTTAATCTCTCTCTTGATTTTCTCCCCCCCTCTCTCTCTTTATATATGACCACGGTTAAATTATGCTGAAAACACCGGTTCTCATTCAATCACTCAAGTTAAGCACCGTCGAGCCTGGTCAGTGCTTTGACTGGCGGTCGCTTGTGAACATCGTAAGCAACCTCCTATTTGAAATAGGTTTCGACTTTAAATCGCACACAAAGATTTGATAAACCGTACAAAAATCAATAAATCAGCTCTCATATATATATATATATATATATATATATATATATATATATATATATATATATATAGAGAGAGAGAGAGAGAGAGAGAGATAGATAGATAGATAGATAGATAGATAGATTGGGAGAGAGGGAGAGAAAGAAACAGGATAGAGACATTAACAGACTGACAGATATTAACAAATTTATACACACGCACACACGCGCACACACACACACACACACACACACACACATATATATATATATATATATATATTCATATATCGAAGGTCATCGAATAATGGTATACCAGTCGATGTGTAGCCCATACGTTATCTACTTTTTTCATAGTCTATTTGTAAATAAAAACTGGCGAATTCATCTTTAAATATATTTTTAGTCTTAAACAGATTATGACATAGAGAGATAGATCACCTTGTTATCGTCTCACTAACCAGATTAAAATGCTTCAAATATGACAAAGATTCTCGTATATGAAATTTTGAAATGAGTTATTGTTCTTTAAAAGTTTAGCATAGTTTGGTACAAGGCCATGAGTTTGGGAAACAAACTGAGTATCAAACTTTATACTCATTAATAATTGTCAAACAGACTATCTCACTAGACAATACCCTATACTTTGGCATCTGAAATGAGTTTTTATTATACAACAAGTTGTATTTTTTTAGCTTGGTTTTGTTTTACCACAACTATTTTGTAATTATTGAACGTTAAAAAACGATAATAATTCATCCAAAACAAGGCTCGAGTGCCGCTCAAGGTAGAAAGTTATTTTTAAAATGGTAATGAAAAATGACGTGCGTGATATGAATGAAAGAAGAGGTGGTAGGAAGTGAAGATTATTATTATTATTATTATTTGCTTTGATTTCTGTTGTACGCACATTTCCTCCCGTGTTCCAACCAAAGTTCAAAGGCCAGAAATGGCGTCATGAAATTTTCCACTGAAGATATTTGTAAAAAAAGATAAAAATATAACATCAAACATATTTTACGTCGATAAAGCTCTTCGTAACTGCACTTATGAGTACAATTTTTTGAATTTCTTTAAGGTATCGGCTACCAGGAAGCTCTTCTCTGAGTCTATCGGAACCTATTCTAATCAATCTAAGGCCTCCAAATACAACTGGAATTATTGATGTCCTCATGTGCTACATTTTGATATTCCCAATTCAAGATCCTTGCATTTTGATAATTTTTGATCTTCAAAGATTCATTTCAATCTGCGGGGACTGTCATGTCAATAAGAAAGCACATTTTGTTCTTGTGGTCTTCTTTGATCATGATGTCTGGGCGATTAGCTTTCATTGTTCTGCCTGTGTATATTGTAAAGTCACATAAAAATTATTACAGGTCCTCTCTCTGTAACCGGGTCTGGGTGATGTTCCTACCAGTTTCTTAGTTTTCTTTCTTTCTTTCTTTCTCTCTTTCTTTCTTTCTCTCTTTCTTTCTTTCTTTCTCATCATCATCATCATCATCATCATCATCATCCAGATAGAAGGTCCGTGAAACCCTTTTCAGATATATGCAATGTTATCATAGGCAACTTAATAAGAACACGAAGCAAAATCTCTAATGTTATTGTTTATTCAATTAATGTCGGCAAGTAGGTGTATGGTTTTAGTTTTTTCTCCCAAGTGGATTCTACATTTTCGCAAGGATTCATCTATCGAGTCAGTGCTTATATATTTGTCTGTCATACGTTTCATCCCACGTTTGCACCTCCAAAACGTTGCTGGGTCGTCTGCGGGTTCCCACGTCGAAGCAGTTACTGAATAAAAGCGCGTAACAGCATCTGGCGACTAAAAGGTTATCATTCAGGTCAATTCGCTGGTGCAGCTGCTCTATTGGACACAGAGCAAAGTCTATTTTGCCATTAACTGAAAGGTGAGTTACATACTCCATATTGTCGAGAAAAGAAACTTGCTGGGGAGATAAGTCGAGCGGGAAAGAAAACGAAGTGAAAAAGGATCGAAATTGGTCAGCAGACTTTAGAAAAAGTTTCCCTTTATCCTGACAGAGAGTCTAGAAGAGAGGTGAATCCCTTCCTGCTGCTGTTATCAAAAGTGACTGACTTGCTCTTCTTTCGTTGGATACTTTCGACTCCCATGCCGGCCGCATTCTACGCCTTATATGGCCACAATTACATCCGAAGCCACGCTTTCTTTCCATTTACGCAATTTAGCGTAGGTTTTATGGGCTTCAATTTACTGGAGCCCGATATTTTTGGCGGTTTTTTGGTCTTCTAAAATTTTTCGAATCTTCCTTTTCATAATTTTTATATAATGCACGTAACTTATATATATAAAATTGGGGAAATATATTGACTGTTTGCTATATATGGTCAGTTCATTTCGTGTACTCAAATTTGGTAAGCATACTCATTGGATCGAGAGTAAGGTATTAACGTCATATTGTTGTTCCTCGAAGGGGAAGGAAACGCCTCTCTCTCTTTCTCTCTTTTCTGTTGTATATTTAGCAGTAAAAATTACCCTTTGCAACTGATCGGTGTAAGACTACAATTTCTCTTTTAGTTGCGTTATGAAAAAGCAATATCACAGAACAATTTTTTACCTTATACATATATATATATATGTTAAGAAATGGACAAGGTCCGACAATTTATTTATTAAAGACATTTTTATTTATGTTTAACGTTGTTATTTTAGAGATACAAGTATTTAAGCAAATGCTCTGTTTAAGATAAACAGTATTAAATAACATTTACCGGCCTGAATGTCCGAGAAATTTTCATAGAAAATATTCGTTCATAGACAGGATTCGAACCTGCATCCTATACGGAGCTGTCATATACGCTGACATGCCTTAACCACTCGGCCACCATGAACCTTATGGTAGACAAGAAATGTTAAGAAATGGACAATAGATAAATAAAAATGTCTTTAATAAATAAATTGTCGGACCTTGTCCATTTCTTAACATATGACGTCATTTGTTTACATTCGATACGCCAGAGCAGTTATGAATGTACGAGATTCATGGAAGATTGTAGTTTATAACAGTAAATTCGACCTTGTCTACCATAAGGTTCATGGTATGAGTGGTTAAGGCATGTCAGCGTATAGGATGCAGGTTCGAATCCTGTCTATGAACGAATATTTTCTATGAAAATTTTCGGACATTCAGGCCGGTAAATGTTATTTAATACTGTTTATCTTAAACAGAGCATTTGCTTAAATACTTGTATCTATAAAATAACAACGTTAAACATAAATAAAAATGTCTTTAATAAATATATATATATATATTTAAGTTATGTAAAACCCATTTACAGCCTCTTTCTATGTAAATTTATGTATTTTTTACCTTATATATATATATAAGTCCATTACAGTCTCTTTCTCTTTACTTCCCCCTTCTTTCTTTTTCTTTTTTCTTTTCTCTCTTCTCCCCTCTCATTTCAATATATCACTTCCGTTACGTTAACCGTTTAAATAGGCTAAGATCTGGTAACTCCTCCTCCCCCAATACTAAGTATGATTGAGAGAAATATTAAATTAAACCCTCTCTAAACTCTACCATGTCACTCTAACCATTCCTCATTATTGTTAAATTACAAAAACTTACACTACCCGTCAATTTTCATTTCATTTTTCGTTTCATCTTTTGGAAGTGCTATCTGATGATTCGGCGTCCTTTAAAAGGGCTCTGTTGAAATAAATTATTATAATAGAGCCTAAAATCTGTTTTTTTTTAATATATATATATATATATATATATATATATATATATATATATATATATATATATAATATCGAACCCTCCTGTAGTTTATATCTAAAGAGAATTGTCCAGTAGAGGCCAAATATAAATCTATCAAGGTTATATATCAAGCGACCCTTTCCCCCAAAGAAAATATGGAAAATAATAATGTTTGCATTGGATTTTCCGCGAGCAATGGAAACAGAGATTTTATATTCATAGGCACTCATTTTATAACCCTAAACTAAAACACCAAACAGCTCTTTCAAAAAAAATTTGGGAATTGAGGGATGAAGGTTTGTGCCCACAGATATTTTTGGAAAATTATAAGTTCTGCACGAACTCCCAATAGTCTTAGAGATAGGTGTAATTTACGTTTAGAAGAAAAAATGAAGATAATAAAATAGAATAATCAAAGCCAACTATTGAATCAGAGCAATGAATTAGTGTTAAAATGTTGACATAAAAACAAAATCAAATTTCTATAATACAGTTTTACATTACTTAGCGACCCCAAATCACTGCCATCTAACTCTTCAAATATCAACAGAAAAACCAAAAATCAATTCTAATTTCCCTATTGAATCCCCACCTCTAAAACCTTTTCATACTATATTAATTATAACTTATAAACTTTCCCCTACTAGAATATCGCCTTAACACTCTTTCCGTTAATCCCTTACATCGTTTTATCTATATATTTTTAATTTATTTTTGGATTAAATTTTTTTTTTCTCCTTTAATTTTAAATTAAAATTTATTTTTTTCATATAACCCCAAATAAGATTAATATTCATTTATTTTGAAAAAATAAAACTTCTTCCTTTATGACAGATACTTTTCACCCTTCCCCTTCCTCGTGTCTTTCGTCTGACTGAAAACATGAGTTGGATTTGGGTTGATTTGTTAGCTTTCACAGTTAAATTCTACTTCCTGCCTCATCTAATTTTATAGACGTGAACTCATTCCACACCGGGGTTGATAAGACAGACGACCGATATTATCGTCTGCCGAAATAGGCTATATCCCAAATAAGACAATTTTAGATTTATTTGTTTATTAATCATATATATATATATATATATATATATATATATATATATAGGAGATTTAGGCAAATCGTTATAGTAATTCATCGAGTCTAGAAGAATCCTCAATAGAATGCAGTAAGCAATGGACGCCCGTTTTGTCCTATTTTGGGACTGATCAGCAGTGCACATCCTCTACTGAAATTCGAACTCGGACCGTTTCGATACAAAGCAATCGTCATACTAACTGTACCAATCGGTGATGAAGAAGAAACTGAATAGACACGATATAGTCAAAATTATATTACTTTTATATCCTTGCTTAACCCAGCTAATGCTCTGCGATCGAGCAGTTCGCGGAAAAGGAAAGACGTGACTCTTGGGGCACAATCTGTTGGTTTATGAATATTTGGATGAGTATCACCAGGGAAGTTGTGAGTAGCGACGCGAGTCTATTAAGTTTCTTCTTAGTCACCGAGGCCCGTTGCTACAGTATCGAAACGGTTCGTGTTCGAACATCGTTAGTGGATGTGCACTGCTGATGAGTCCCTAAATAGGACGAAACGGCCATCCAGTGCTTTCTGCATTCTCGATGAATTACTAATATATATATATATATATATATATATATATATATATATATATATAATCAAATCATCACAAACAAGGCGATAAGTGTAAGTGAATGAAAAGACTTTAGACGGAACCAGAAGCCCAATGTTAAACAAGAAGCAAGGGATAAAACTCTATTCCCGTTCAAAAAACTGGGGAGGAGTATGAACTGGACAAATCTACCTATCTACTCCTATTGAGGAAAATAAAATAAAATAAATAGTAAATAAAATTTCAGATTTTAGGCGGAGATGTTAGAAGCATAAAATTGGAGTAGACTTTAGAAGGAACCAGAAAGTCAGTCCTGAACAGGAAACAATGGATCAACTTCTACTCCTCTTCACCCTTCTAGGTAGTGACCATGCTCGATATTGCTTAACTTCAGTGATCGTACGGGAATCGGTATTTCAACGTGATATGGCCGTAAGCCTTCATTTTTTTATTAGTATATTTGCACAGATCAGTGACTTTTCAGCCGGCGTGCCGCGGCACAGTGGTTGCTATGAGAGGATCGTAGGTATGCCGCGAAAATCGAATTATTTTCGAAAGGAGTTTTTCAAAAAGTGCATATATCAAAATTAAAACCTCTTTAAATTAATTATACAAGTATATTATTGTTATAATAAATATACGCATCCATAATGTATAAAATTTATATAAAAAGCAAGATTTTCTATAATAAACAATATTAAAAACAAAAATCGATCACGGCTCGAATCCTTAGAAGAAGATTTTATAGAGGATGCCTGTCCAAAATTCGAACTTGCAAAGAAAGTCTAAAAAAAAATGTCAAGTTCAGATAAATGTTGAATTATAATAAACAAGGTTTACAGCCACATCACATTGAAACACTGGCTCCCGTACGATCAACAAAGTTAAGCAGTGTCGAGCTTGATCAATATTTAGATAGGTGACCGCTTGGGAATACCAGGTGCTGTAAACTTGGATGTGCGGGTGGTGTAATATGGACTCGGAATTGTTAATCAGAGTTCCAGTTCCCTTTGGAATCGTTATATTCACTTACGCGCAAATACGCATGGTAAAGGTATGCAGTCAGCGCTTCTCCCCAGGTATGGGTTAATTAGTAACATTATAACCCTCAGCTAAAAAAAAAAAATATATATTTAGATTTCGGTATAAAATAACCCATAGCGGTTGGTGTGCCGTTGAACAAAAATAAGCAACCAAAATCTTCTGCCTCCACCTAGGGGTTAATTAGTATGACTTGTAACACTAAACCATTATTATCTCCCCTACAAAAAAAAAATTCTTAGAATCAAAAAAATATTTTCAGGCTTTAAATAACCTGTAAAAGAAGTTGATAAGCCGTAGAAAACGAATGACTCAATCAAAAGTGTTGTAACATACCTACGGACGATAATGGATATGTCCCTATTTACATAAATGCAGAAGCAAATACAACTATCTATGTTGATCTGCAGTTGGAGATTCATCTCCAGCTGTGCTAGTCAAACTCTTTGCCTTCGGGTAGAGAGGATCCCCAGACGAAGCTCTGTCGAAGGGCAGTCTCGACTCGAGAAACAGCTACCCGACTCCGTTTTATACGGGGTCTACGGGGAATTTTTGGCCGAGCCTATGGGCTCGGATACCCCACATAAAGTCGGCCTTGTGCCACATCTGACCGCATGGGGCGGTTGGTAGATATCATGTAGTTGGAGATTCGTCTCCAGCTGTTCTGGTCAAACTCTCTGTCTCCTGGTAGAAAGGATCCCTAGACGAGGCTCTGTCGAAGGGCAGTGTCTCATCTCGGAAAACAGCTACACGACCCCATTTTATAAAGGGTCTTCAGGAAATTTTTGGACCAGCCTACGGGCTTGGAACCCCCACATTAAATTCGGCCTTGTACCACATCTAACCGTGTGGGGCGGTTGGTAGATATCCTAGATTTGTGGATTCATTGTGGAATTCACTTCTCACTTCTAGCAGTTGACTAGTTGTACGCGCCGCTGGCGAATCTTATATGTGTTGTTTTGTTCTAAGTACTATCGTTCATTATCAACCTTCGTGTGATTATTCTATTCAGTAACCTTCCCTAAGTTACAACAAAAGGAATAAACAGAAAAATAAATGTAACTTTTTTTAGAATTTTAATTATTATCGTTTCATTACAAATTAATAGAATTATTTTGTTTGTATTAATAAATAAATCATAAAAAGTATAACTTCTTTTTTTTTGCTCTAATTTCATCCTCCTAATTTATGTGTACCGCGGAAGTTTAACTATAGTATCAAGTGTCTCTGGGCACCTCGAGGTGGTGTAATGGTTAGCAAGCTTTTCTCGCTAGAACAATTACGATTGAGTAGTGAGTTCGATCCTCACTGGGTGCCCCATACTTTCGGCCTTGTGCCACATCCGAGCTACGCTTGGAAAATCGCCAGTATCAAGTGTCTCGTGAGATGAAAATGGTTGCGAAACATTGACATACATTAATGTAACAGATAAACGACTTAGTTTAATCACAAAGTAACGGCACACTTCAAAAGACACATGCCTAATTGAAAGCAAGCTTAATCAATCAAGCCCTATCAGTTTACAATTATCCTTTTAATTAGTTTTCCAATCAGTCACACGCTTAACAAATCACTGCATTCACGGGATTAATTAATAGGAGAAGCAATCAGATCTTTAAGCGGGTACAAACTTAATCAATCACGTGTTTAATTAATCACATTCTAATCGCATCTTTAATCAATTAAGTGTTTACTTAATCACACAGCAATCATGGGATTAATTGATTATATGAGAATTGAACACCTAACAAGCCACAATCTAAATGAAACCATAAACGATTGTACTTTAATTAAATCAAACAACTGTACTTTAAATCGACCACACTACAATCGTACTGTAAGTAAATCACATAGCAATCGTACTTTAAATCTACGATCACACGTTAAATCAAGCACACTAAAGTCGTACTCTAAAGAATCACACTACACTCGTACTTTAAGTCAATCACAATACGATCATACACTAAATCAGTCACACTCACATTCGTGTTTTAAATCAATAGCATACTAAATCAATAACACTAAAATCGTACTTTAAACAATCACATTACACTCGTACTTTAAATCAATCAGTGCAACCGTACTTTAAATCAGTCACCCGACAATCACACATTAAATCAATCGCACAACACTCGTATTTTAAATCAATTACATAATCAAGCACTAAATCAATCAGACAAAGAACGTACTTTAAATCAGTCACACTGCAATCGTACTTTAAATCAATCACAGTGTAATCATGCGCTAAATCTATCACACGTCAAATCAATTACGCGGAAAAATCGATCTATAATGAAATTTTCTGTCATCCTCGATTTATAACTTCTTTTTTTTTTTCTCACCAGAAGTGTATTGATTATTGCTACCGTTGTGCGTTATTTAGACGAACACTAGGAAGAGTTCAAAGTTCGAATTTTGGATCATGATACGCTAACTGAAGCCGCGTGAGATGAAGCCAAATTAACTTGTTCTTGCTGCTACTGTAAAATTATTAAAAAAATCTGCTACATGGTTCTTTCTCTTTCTCCCAAAATACATAAGACGCGGGATAGTACCGACTGACCGAGTCATAACGTCTGTGTGTGTGTGTGTTGCTTGTACGCTCGATTGCGCACGTATGTGTGTGTGTGTGTTCGTGCGTTTGTGTGTGCGTGTGCATAATTTCGACGACCTGAGGAGCATCCGAGTTGTTTGCTGTTCATTCTTTCAGCTATGTGCATGTGTGTGCGTCTTTGTTTAATGGGGTTTCATATTCTGGTGTATGTATGTGCTTGTGTGTACGTTTGTAATCTGTGTCTGTGTACATGATTACATATGTTTGAAAATTACTATTTTCTGAAATCTGTATTTGTTTTTATAACTGCGGCTTCTTGTCATAAAGAAACTTGTTCGATTAATTAAAGATTATTAAGTTGAGTCAAAAGTGAGTCACGCTTCTTTAATCATTTATAGAAGGTGATGAAAAGTAGGTACCATAGAACAATGTTCTATGCAAAACACAGTGGGCTGAACAGAATAAATCTCCACAACAGACCCCGAAAAGCTGAAGGTAATTCTGCGCATATGGTGGGATTGTTGGAGGTCTTATTCATTTTGAGCTTTTAAAACGCAGTGAAACACTAAATGCACATTTATACATACAGCAGCTGCAATCTGTCCATAAAAGTTTGCTCGAAATCGCCCTGCGTTCAGTAATGAGGACGCAGTGCCATACGTAGCAAGAATCTTTATCATCAGAGCTGATTTGAAGGTACTTTGTAAATAAGTGCGATTTCTCAGCCTCAGAATGGATGCTTTTTTCCAAACATATCCATCTGTTCAGGCCCATTACTGTTTCTTCAACACCCACAGACTCAATCTGTGGTTTATACTGCAATTATGCTGAGCGGATCTTAGTTACAGTTAAGTATATACCCCACTAAGAACACATCAGTCATTTATGAGCCATGCGTGAAACACGCTTAGGCGATCATGTATCTTTCGATACATGACTGACGATGCAGATTTTTTTTTTCTCACAGTAGGTTGCCATTTCTTTTTGCGGTAGACTAGTTGCCATTCAAGGCTATAGAACCCGGTCTATCCTGCTATTTAACCATAGCGGTGTTTACTCGTTCCCCCACGAGGACGAGATGTGACATAAGGTCTTTTTAAAGTGGGGACCCGAGCGCGTACACCCGGGCGAGGGACAAAAATTCCCCACAGCAATGGGAGGGCGCGGCCTCAGGAAGCTGTTCCCCAGGGCTGGGCACTCCTCAGTATTATTTTCTCAGTTGCCCCTCTGTCCTTTGACAGAGAAGCCCCTGAGCGCACACTGTCCAAAGACAGAGACGCAACTGAGAGATGATAAATAATGCGAAATCCCTCCAAGGAGAAATTTACGCACTGCAGTTGGAGGGAGAAGAAGATTCATACCTTTCTCAAGGGTATTAGCACGTAAATGAATATAATGGATTCGATTGGAATTCGAACTCGGCTTACAGTTTTGAATTCAGACTTATTCTGTGTTGGTTGCCGACCGCAGTTAGAGAGCCCAATCCACCCTGCTATTTTTCTCATAGCTAAGAGGAGAAATGATGAATTCATATCTTTCCCAAGGGTATTTATGTGATATATAACAATCTCGACTGGAAATCGAACACGGCTCGTCGATTTCTTGTTCTGAGCCTTTAACTCTTATACCCCTTGCACATCCAGCAATATTCGCCTGGCCTTGCAAAAAAAAAAAAAGGATTATTACCTTTTTCAATAGCTACAAAACGCTTTAACGGGGAAAACCTTCTTAAATGAAAACCTGATTCAAGAGTTCATCGAAAACTTTTTCACATCAAATCCTACGGAATTTGGCTCAAACAGGCATGGAAGAGCTTCTCGATAATTGGCAACGGGGCCTTGCAAATAATGATGAATATATAATTGAATAAAATTTAATTGTAATTTATTTTTTGAAGATTAAAATTCATAAACAGAAACAGAAATTATTTCCAACTCCACCTAATATTTTCAACATTTAACAGGCATTTAACTACTAAGATTATTTTATATACACATCTAGCAATAATCTATGACTTCACTATTTTATTGATATTATCATATATAAGGCTGGTTAACTTTAATGTCTCAAAGACAAAACTGCTCTCTATTATCACATAGAACCCTTCCTGCCTCCCATTAGGATGTCCGATCCTCTTTGCAACTGTTTGGTCTCATGTTTTCCGCTGACCTGAGATGGAACAAATACATTGAATCAATAGCTTCATCTACCGCAATCATTACGCTACTTCGTATTTATTCCCTCCCTTTATGATCACGTGATCTGCTTAATAATGGAATCGCTTGTGTTGCTCACTGGCGATCTAGTTTCAAAACACAGTGTCGGCAACGACACTTACTCTTATGCAACAACAACAATAATAATAATATCATCAACGCCATTTCAGATGTTAGAATAGTGAGGACACTATCGATGCAGCTTAAAGCCGGAGAGAAGTGTGGTACAAAAGAAAAATAGGAGAGGAATGCGAAGACGCTAGGCGACCGGCTAAACACTTCCCTATTCAGATTAGCTGTAGAGGATACCTACGCACTTGCGAAGATGCTTCATGCTCATTGAAATCAAGCAGAGAAAAGTCATCGCAGTCCTAAAGAATATCAAAGATAGTTGATAAAATCCAAAGAAGGATCTGTAATGTAATCGATCCTTACCAGTCATCTCGACTTCAGTCACTTTCTCAACAATGTGACGTGACTTCCCTCTGTCTTTTCTACAAATATTTTCATGGCAACTGCTCTGATCAGCTTTTTTACCTGGTTTCCCGTCTACATTAATTTAAGCGTGGTACTAGATTGGCAACCAGGTTTCTCCGTTTTTCTGTTGAAATAGTTAAATGCAACCGCCATTTCTATTTCAACAGTTTCTTTTCTCACGTTTCCCACCTATGGAACTCTTCTGTTTACTTGCTTCCCTGAAAACTAGAATCTTCAAAAATTACTTTTCCATATAGAAAATGTCTCTCTAATTTTAAGAATTCTAACAACACGTAAATTGGTAACACAACTGCTACATTATCACGTTGGTTAACTTGCTATTTATGCGATAACAGTCCAATTAAATTGCAAATTGTTGGCGTTTTTGGGTGCCCTGGTGTACTAGTGAGCCAGCCAAAATGAGCTGACTTATTTTATAGTTCAACAATAGAAGGGTTAACCAATTAGAATGCTCAAAATATTCAATGCGACGTGTATAAAGGCGGCCATGTTTTTCCCGAATATTCATTGCCGGCTTTTGATATCGAAGACTGAAGAATTACGGAGGTGGTATTGGCGATATAGTCAGATTCAGTAGCGTGTCTGACTCGTGAGTGTTAATCTTTAACGTTGTTTCATTGAACAGATTACGTACTGCGCTATATTCTATATTCATAGACTATGGCGAACATGGTCAACACAAATCCCCAACCAACACAACAAAACACAAGACACACGACATATATTTAGCAATAACACAAAAATACTACTACACGTAAACTACAGAAATAGACTTTTAATACAAAAACCAAAAAAAGAACCAAAAAAAAAAAAAAAAAAAAAAAAAAAAAAAACAAAAAGCAAAAACCGATATTTACATTTTATTGTATTTGGAGAGTTTTTTTTCTCTCCAATAATAATGAAAAAATCCTCAAGAAGTTAAAACGATTTTATTATCTCTTAGTTGTTTTTATTCATGTGGGGTTTATAAAGAATCTACAGTCACTTCTAAGCAATTGACTGTTAATATTAATGGGGTTCTTTAATATCTATTCATTTGTTCCCTCTTAAGGAAAATACTAACCACAAATCTTTATAAACTGTCCGGCTAAAAAAGAAGAAAAAATAGTAACACTTAGCAGCATTAACGATTAATAAATGATTAAATCTTTTAAAAAGCATCTGACACAATAAAAAATAAAGTTCTCCCTAACAATAACTGAGGCGGTTGCACCTGTTAGGGTCCTTATCTATGGACAAATAGTGACCTCCACCCCCCACAAAAAAACCTGAAAATGAAAGGATAAAAATACAGTTATAGTTAAAATAATAGTGAAAATACTATCACTATATTCTTATATAAAAAAGACTAACAATACATCGAGTAAGATGACCAGCAATACATTTTATCTGTAGTTTAATGCATACAATTGCGTTGAAAATATATTTAGTTGAATCCATACAATTGCGTTCAAAATATATTTAGTTGAAGCCATACAATTGCGTTCAAAATATATTTAGTTGAAGCCATACAATACGGTACAAAATATATTTAGTTGAAGCCATAAAATTGTGTTCAAATTATTTAGATTTCGGCATTAAATAACCCATCGGGGTTGATATCAGCTAAATAAAACCAATCCACCTACAATCCTACCAATAACTAAAATTATAAAATCTGCCGTCCTGTGCAAAATATTTTACCTAAACAATCAAGATACTTCCGATGATGTTCTATTAATAAAAATCCCCACCATACTGATTTACCTGACCTTGTAGATAAACTAAAGAGACTCGTACATACAGTAGAATTTACTTACGAAATGGAAACACACAATATTTTACTTTTCTTTGATATCATGTTACACTGCGTTAACAGTCGCCTAATCTCGATCGCAAATGAGCTTATAAATTTCTATTCTCATCATAACAGCAAAATAAAATCCAGAATAATCATTGGATTATAGTTAAGAGTACTCAGAATTTAAAAATAGAAAAACGCTCCTCGCTGACAAATCCAAGGCATCAAAATATATTGTTCTACCCACCAATTCTATCACAACTGCAATTGAAAAGAATTTATCTAAACTCAACATCAAATTTGTCACAACTACATCTAAAACAAGCTTACCATACCTGGTATTCCTAGTTACACATCTAAGCAATTCTTGTCTATTCTAGATTTTAAAGCATTATGATCCAAAATTAATGGTCATTTAATCCGGGGTTTTATTTTAAGGGAGACGTCAACGCCACCAAAACGTTTGAATTACTTATGGGTAGTACGTTTAGATATTGTTTCATTTTCTTTCCACTTCCCGAATTCAGGGAGCAGCTTTTATCGTCTTTGAGTTCAAGAAGAACGCCTCAGAATGACTAGATTGATTGATTTTTTACGGCTTATCAACTTTTGCAGGTTATTTAAAGGCTATTTTAGATTGTAAGAACTTTTTGGAAATAATAATGATTTACAGATACAAATACTGCTAATTAACCCATAGCTGGAGGTGAAGAGGCGGATTTATACCTTTCCCAAACGCGCAAGTGAATATAAAGAACACGATTAGAATCGGAACTCGTTTTTCTGATCTTAAATTCCATCCGCACACCCAAACTGATAGCATCTGGTATTCCCAAGTGATTACCCATCTAAGTAATGACCAGGTTCTACATTGCTTAACTTCTGTGGTCGTACAGGAATCGGTGTTTTAACGTAATATGGCCGTAAGCCCATATATCTGCGTTTACTGCTATCTGTATACATGTATAGGTATAAGCAATGTTGATGCATATATTTGTATATGCTCGCATATATGCAACGTGAGTATTGTTTGTATGTGCATATATATTTGTGTGCTTATGCCTCTGTGTGTGCGTGTGTGTGTGTGTGAATGAGTGGAAATGTGTGCGCGCATGTGCTCCCATCGACATTAGTGATTGAGGAGTGGCCTTCGCGTGGCACTCAGGAGCAATGTCAAATTATATTTGAAATTCCGGGGTGAGTCATTTTATTAGTTGAAAGATCACTGCCAATCTTTACTGTTGTTTATTTTTTGCTTTGTTTTAATTTGGTTTGTTTTTCGTCCCAATGCTCAGGCCGAAGTCCGAAGAACGTATCGGCCGAAAGGTCGTGATTAAAACACTAAGAAGCGATGATACTATTCAGTATGGAAGACTAGTAACGCTAGTCACCAACATGCCAGCTGAAAGCATTCGGAAATATCAAAACAGCAGCAGCAGCTGAATTATGAATGCCATGCACTCTTAGCATGATGACAAAATTTGTGGCCTTGATGCGCGTTCAAGCATAAGTGAATTGACGTATGCCCCTTATGTGTGCGTGAATGCGCATGCTCATGCGCATGTGGCTACTCGTTCAGGTGTAATGCATGCACAAGTGTCCATGGGATCAAAAGCTCTTGATCTAAGTTTGTAGGTACATAAAACGAGACATTAGGACAGATAGAGAGATGAAACAAGGGTACGCGAGGGAAAAGCAAGGTTGATAAACGGGAAAAATGCGTAAAAGACAAATAGGCAACACAAATGCTTAGACGTAGACCATTATGTATGTATATACGTATGCAGAAAGGCTTCCAGTCATAGATGTATAGCCGAGTGGTTAGAACTGTTCGCTTTCCGATTATGAGGCACTGGTTCGAATATCACAATGGTTGATTTATCAGGGAAGACACTTCACTGAAAGAACTTTAAAAGCTTAGACCAGCGTTTCTCAATCTTGCGTAGCCCTTAAAATAAATTATTCTCTCTAGGAACCCCTGTGCAAAAAATAAAATTATATCTTTCTTATTTTATTTTCATCGTAGGTTATCATAGTATATATTTTTGAATAACTGGTTTAAGGAAAAATTAATACTTCTTTGTCAAATTTTTCGGTAACGATAAATAAAATTCATACTGATCGTTTATAATAATTCATCAGGGAGTTTTCATTCACACAAAATATTCTAAGCTCAAACGTAAAAAAATAAACATGAGTAACCAATATCATTTACCTATAATAGAAATGTAAACAGAACGAAAACAGATAATTGTTGCATCAGTTTTTTCTATATTTTACCCTTTACTGGCAATGTTGAAAAGAGAAAAGGTAAATCAAGACAATATTACAATAACGAAGAATATATTGCGTGTGTGTTTTTGTAATATTACGTATATAAAATTAAATAAAAAGTCAAAAGTGCATTAGCTTATCTCACCTGTTCTCGGGGAACCCTTGGGGACATTTTGCGGAACCTTAGGATTCCGGGGATCTCCGGTTGAGAAACGCCGCCTTGGGCTTTGTGAATGAAACTGAGTAGACCAGGACATCGATACTTGTGCTAGAACGAAGTCACAATTCATCGTGACCGAGGGGTTGAACGTACTGGCGCTGTCCAGGTGGCAGATTTTGCGCTCTCCCCACGAAACTGTAACCAACGACAAATTTACTCAGTGAAAACGGACGAGAAATAACTGAGAGCTACTAAATAAAAATAAGAACGATATCCCCTCGACATGAGCAGTGGAACGAGAACAGTCTATAGCCATAGTGCCGTAATGGAATGTCCCACACTCCCTATCGCCTATGTGGACCAACTATATATATATATATATATATATATATTAAAGACATTTTTATGTTTAACGTTCTTTTTTATAGATACAAGTATTTAAGTAAATGCTCTGTTTATAATAAACAGTATTAAATAACATTTACCGGCCTGAATGTCCGAGAAATTTTCATAGAAAATATTCGTTCTTTGACAGGATTCGAACCTGCATCCTATACGGAACCGTCATTTACGCTGACGTGCCTTAACGATCGGCCACAAAGAAGCGTTCGGTAGACAAGGTCGAATTTACTGCTTATAAACTTCAATCAATAAACTTCCATGAATCTCGTACATTCATAACTGCTCTGGCGTATCAAATGTAAACAAATGACGTCATATATTAAGAAATGGACAAAGTCCGACAATTTATTTATTAAAGACATTTTTATGTTTAACGTTCTTTTTTTATAGATACAAGTATTTAAGTAAATGCTCTGTTTATAATAAACAGTATTAAATAACAATGTACGAGATTCATCCTGCCTCGCGGGGAGGTAAGGTAAATAACCTTTGCTTCGAGAATTACTAGCTTGCTAACCGATTCCCTGTCTTTCAGTAGCATATTCTCTTTTACAATAAACCTCTCTTCATCTACGTTCGTGTTGCTGTTCCTTTCTCTCAAGTACCTCTTTGTCTGTTTGTAACCTCTTTAAGGATACAACACATAGATAAAACAAAGGGTTCGATTCGGAATTCCTTGTAGGTTACCCAGATCAATATACAGCCGAGGAAGGCTGGAGAGCACAACGACCGAAACGTTGTGATAAAAATAACAAAGATGAGATAATATCTAAATAGTGTAAATAACAAATTTACGCGTTTGTTTTCGATTGGTTCTGAAGAGTGAGGGGCGAAAATCGGTTATCCTCTCCTTGGTTGTTTGCATCTTTATTGTTGTTATTGTTTCGATTCAGGGCTTTACGGTGATTTCTTTTATTATCCTTGCTCTTCCCACCCCTACTATTTGCTGCTTTTCTTTAGATACAATTTTAATATGTCCGTTTTTAGAACATTAACAATGTATTATTATTATTTATATTATTATTTATATTATTATTATTATTATTATTTAGAGCATTAACAATCTACTTCACACAAATCTCTTTACCAACATAACCTCTTACCTTATTAATACTATTAATCCAAGGCTTTTCAATTAATTATTGGGTTGGTGCATAATTATCAGGCGTTTTTGTAGGCGAGTTATTTAGTAGTAAAAATTGCTGGTTTGTTTACTATTTTTAATAAAAATATTATTTTATTTTCAGGTTATAAAAATGAAGTAAATGGTGACTACGCTCCGGAATAATCATTTAAAAAATGTTATTGTTGAATTGTTATGCTTCTTTTTTTTATAATAAATACAGTTTAAAAAACGCCTGATAATTACGCACCAACCAAATACATGTTCTTACCGTTATAATGTGAAAAGTTTAGAGCAAAAAAAATCACTTCAAAAAACTCAGTGAGGCTAGGGACTTACTGATCAATCTTTCACACACACACACGCACAAAAAACACACGCACGCACGCACGCACGCGCGCACACACAGACACCCCCATATATATATATATATATATATAGATAGATAGATAGATAGATAGAGAGAGAGAGAGAGAGAGTCCTAAAAAAATTGGCATCATTTCGCAGGCCAATAATTTTGGCAATTCTTGTTGAAATAACCTCAAATTTTCAAAAATGTATAGAAACTGATCAAGATTTTATATTTAACGCTTTATTTTTGTTCTGTTTCAGGTTCATGCAGTTCACTCCCAAAGAGAAGTCATTTTGCATGTTGGAATATGCTCGCACACAGTCACCCAAAACTGTACAGCGTGCCTTCAATGCAAAATTTTGAAAAAAACTCACCAACTGGCAAACAAATCAGGACTTGGTACCAAAAATTTAAAGAGGAAGGCTGCTCGTAAAGGGTTAAAGGATCTAGTAGACCCATCATCATTATCAGGGGTTTTGGCAACAGCTTACCTACCGACTTGACGTGTGCCGTGTCACAGGCGGTGCACATATTGAAAACTTATGAAATCGGTGCCATAATAAACTTATGACGTTAAACCCCTAAACTGTTCAATTTCATCGAGCTAGACTTAGTAGTTTTCAAGATAATTGCTTTTAAAATGATGTGAATTTTTTGGGCACACCCGGTATATATGTAAAATCTTAGATGAAGTCTTATCTGTAAAAAACAATACGAATAAAGACAAAAGGAAAACTTGATTTAGCCGACGGGTTTCGTCCTCTGATAAAGTCTCCCTCAGAGGACAAAACGTTGCTTTTCCTCATCACCCCCGTTACACACACACACACACACACATACACACACACACACACACACACACACACACACATATATATATATATATATATATATATATATATATATAAAAGTGAACATTGAAGTCAACATTTAGAGACGACAGGCTGTTTTCATGCTAGACGCAATCGTCGAGCAGGAAGAATATATATATATATATATGAAGAAACGCGGTAAATAGATTAATTTAAAGTGATAGCATATATATATATATATATATATATATATATATATATATATATATATATATATATATATATATATATATATATATATATCACAAATTTATATATCAAACCAATATTGGTAAACTGGATGATAGAATTACTCGATTCGTCGCTCAACTTCTAACAACTGTTTTATCGATAAAGTTATATATATATATATATATATATATATATATATATATATATATATATATATATATATATATATACCAAAGATTTTGTTCAGGAAAAAATAAAAATAGAAATCGGCCGACAAGGTTATTTCTGGAAGATAACGCTTTTAAGGTAAGCAGTTCTTGTAATTAAAGAGCTCAATATCAAGAGACAGAGAATTATTAGTGATAAATATAATTAAATGTCCAATTTATCTGCCCTTGCTCAAAATTTCGCAGAGATGTTTGGAATCATCTGGGGATTTGACAGTCAAAATTGAATTTTGAAGCAGAAATTCAATTTTTCTATCAACACCCCTGACAAATGGATACTATCTCTGCAAAACTTAGAGTCAATTTTATCTTTTATCCACACACACACACACACACACACACACACACACACACACACACACACACGTGTGTATGTACATGTGTGTGTGTGTAGTGATCTAAATATATATATATATATATATATATATATATATATATATATATATATACATACATATGTACAGATATATATACATGTACATATCCAACTATAATTTTGTGCAGAATATATATATATATATATATATATATATATATATATATATATATATATATATATATATATATATATGGGGGGGAAATGTACATTAATGATCAATAATTCCCTTGCAAGACAGTTTTAACAGAATTTTCATCAGAAATTTTGATTATATAATGTATGCATGATATGATTTTAATTAAGTGCATTGATATTATTATCCTAATAGTGCATTTTTCATTAATGGGCTGCAGGCTTATTGATGTAGATAATTAGATAGATAGATAGATAGATAGATAGATAGATAGATAGATATGAATATTGTGAGCTAGACAATATTGATTAATGATTGCTCAGTGATTTCTCTATAATGACTGATAGAAATTATCCAAAATTTTTGGCTGATCTATCTATCTATCTATCTATCTATCTATCTATCTATCTGTGCTTGTGTGTGTTAAGCCAACTCTTTGGTAAAAATGGTCGGTTATTGTAAAATAACTATACAAGGTTACAAGACAACGAAGCAAGTCCATAGATCCCTACTGGGAATTTCTTTTAAGCCACAATGTTTAGCCCTGGTTGTTCATCGAATGCGTTTGAGTGGGAAGTTGATACTAGGAAGAGTCGCGGCACAAGTTGTAGCAAAATGTGAAATCCAACAAGCCAATGATGGCTGCCGGGAAGACAGCAAGACCCAAAACGAAACTAGAAACGTAAGCCAAGATGGCTCTGAGTAACGCACGGAAAAAAAATGACATGCCGAACTGAGAAATACCAAGAGAGACATTAATTGAGTAGCGATAACTCTAAGGAGTATGCATAGAAGTACTATCTGCTTAATTATTTGGCTAATAGAGTAGTTGAACTTTTATGGTTTATCAACCTTTTGCAAGTTATTTAAAGCCAGAAAATATTTCTATGTATGAATTTTCTGAGTGTTGTTATCCTCTTGTATCCTTCTATCCCAGATTGTCGGAGCTGCTACCTACCCAATGTGAAGAGATTATCGTAAGAATTTTGTTTAGATAATAATGATTTACTGATACAGGTCCTGCTAATTAACCCATAGCTTGGGAGAGAAGAGATGGATTCATACATTTCCAGGAGAGTGATTCGTTGCACCTTGTCCGACTAACGTTTTCCGCGGACATGAAGTGGAACGATTATATTGAAGCAATTGCTAGGTCTTCTGCTAGAAAAGTTGGTTCACTGTGTCGTGGTAGGCAATTTTTCATTCCAGAATACATATTTAGAAATTAACCGTTCGTCGATGCTTCGAATATTACTGCCACATATGATCTGGTGTTTCTGCTATATATTTAGAGATTCTTGATAAAATTCAAAGAAAAATCTGCAATGTTATTGGTCCTGACCTGGCATCTCGGCTTCAGTCATTTTCCTACCGCCGTAATGTAGCTCCCCTGTACCTTTTCTATAATTATTTTCATGCTATTTGTTGTGATGAGCTTTGATCTATTGTATGTAGACTTTATGAATATAAGTGCAGTACTAGATTGGCGGCAAGGTCTCATCATTTCACAGTTGTATTGGTTAGATGTAAGTGTCAGTTCTATGCTAACTGTTTCTATTCTCGCACTTCTAGCCTGGGGAATTCACTTCGGATTTCTTGCTTTCAAGTCAACTTTGATCTTCAAAAATTTAAATGCAGTGACAATTCTTATCTACTGTCTTCTTGATGCTTCTACTTTTATTGATCTCGCTCCTTAATAATGTTTTCTTTTTCTTGTTCTTTCACACTCAATAACCTTTTGTGTCTTAGTGGCTTTACTGCCTTGGTTGGGGTGAAATGATTAAAAATACAACCTAAGATAGATAGATAGATAGATATGAACAAATTGAGATAAATAGATAGAATAGAGAGACTGAACAAATTGAAATAGATATGAATAGATTGCGATAGATAGATAGATAGATAGATAGATAGATAGATAGATAGATAGATAATGAAGAACTGATGTAGCTAGGTAGCGAGATGGATATATAGATATGAAGAAGGTGAGCAAGACGATGTTGATTAATGATTACTAAGTGTGTTCACTATACTGACTGATACAAATTAATAAAGATTTGGTTGATCAAACCTATCTATCTATCTATCTATCTATCTATCTATCTATCTTATTCACATTCATATCTATCTCTCTCTCTCTCTCTCTCTCTCTATATATATATATATATATATATATATATATATATATGAGCGTATGTGTGTGTGTTTGTGTGCCTGCGCGGGCGTTTATAGAGAGAGTGTGTGTGCATATAAAAATAGGTTGAATGGCGGTGAGAAGTTCAAACGTTTTGGAAATGTGAGAAGCAAAGATCAAAGGCAGTAAATATTGGATGCAACTAAAAGCGAAAGGAGAATAAAGTATTGAGCGAGATGAAAGGCATCACCACCAATCGAAGTGGTGATCTACCGCCTCCCAAACCTGATTGGACGGAGGTGTAAGGAAGGGAGAAAAGCTGGCGGAGAGTGTGGATTTGGTGACATTTGAAGAAGCCAAGAAATTGAGCGGCTATCTGACACTTAGTAAAAAGTTTGTCTAAGTGTGTAGCCTAATGAAAGGCTTGCTGTTTGGCAAGTGCAAAAGCCTACACAACAGAAAGCTCTCACGTACCTTGTGTGTGTGTGTGTGTGTCAACAGGAAAGCGAGTAGAAGTGAAAGAGAGAGAGAGAGAGAGAGAGAGAGAGAAAGAAAGAAAGAATGTCAGTGGAAATTATCGGGAGGTGGCGGATGGGGACAACGACCGCCGGTGCAAAAAAGAAGAAGATAAAAATATGCGATTGGAAATAGGGGGACTTAATTTGATAAAGTAATGTAATGAAACTGAGAGAGGAAAAGAAGAGAGGGAGAGAAAAAAATAGCAGAAGAGAGAGAGAGAGAGAGAGAGAGAGAGAGAGGGAGAGAGAGGAGCAAAGGAAGACGATTGGTGAGAGAGAGGATATAGGGAGAAGTAGGTAAGCATGAAAGAGAGAAGAGAGCAAGATGGGGAGAGACAAGGGAAGAGATGGAGGAAGATATAAGAGAGGAAGAGAGAAATAGGGAGAGTATGAAGGAGAAAGGAGGAAGGAAGAGAGATAGGGAGTGTGACGTGAGAAGGATAAGGAGAGAAAGAGAGATGGGGAGAAAGAAAGAGGAGATCGGGAGGGAGAGACAAAAGAAAAGAGAAAGATGAGACGAAGAGTGAGAAAGAGAAAAAGGGTACGGAGAAGATAGGGAAAAAATGAAGAAAAAAAGGGGGAAAAACCCCTAGCAAGAATTTATTTTGTAGATGATTCTAAAACAGAGAATCAGTATGTAGAAAAATGGAAAAAAGCATAAGACTAGTAGTGAAGATGGCGAGAGATTAAATGAAAACATTTAGCCGTAGTGGAGAAATAATATCGCTCGAACTTCATCTCGAAGTCGTCGTGGTTAAGGAATTTTCCCTCTTAATCTATTGGAGAGATAATGGTCTCTATCCTCGTCTTTCCCGTTTAAGAGATAAAAATCTCAACTTTCGTTATGCCTAAGTATTTCCTTCTTCTTTTTCTTCTTGTATGCACCATGTCCCTTCTGGACGTTGGCAATGATGGTTCCCCACAACTTCCTATCCTTTGTAGCTCTTAACAAATTTTGCCCCTCCTAAACCTTGTTCTACCATCCATTTACACAAGCTCGATCGCGGTTCTTCCCAACTTCCTGTCCTTTGTAGCTCTTAATAAATTTGTTCTCTACCAAACCCTGTTCCGCAATACATTTTAACATTAGCTCGCTAGGTATGCCATGCATTTTTTCCTGTCCTTCTTACCTTCAAATGAATGGGTATTTGCTGGTGCTCGGTAAAAATGGCAGCGGAAAAAATGGCAACGGTAAAAATGGCAAAAGTGGATAAATAGAAAAAAACGGCAAAAGTAGATATTCATCTATATTTTTTTCCTTTTGCCATTTTTTCTTATTTATCTATTTTTGCCATTTTTACCGTTGCCATTTTTTCCAAGCCTTCTTTCTTTAATTTTTCAATTAGAAATTTATTAGAAATTACAACCGCACTTTTTTTATGTTAAGTATAAGTGTCTTTTTTATTAAGAGATAAAAAAAAACTCTCGCGACGAGATTAGAGACCGTAACCTTTCTCCAAAGGTGTAAGAGAATGGAACCATTAACATACCACTTTTAAAAAGATAAATGTATCTACTCTTGTCTCCCGCACCTATTTTTTGGAGATGTAAAAATTCCTAAGCCAATCGCGGTTAAGGCTTTTTTTTCTCTCTCTTCTCTTTGGAAAATAAATTTATCTATTCTCGTTGGAGTGTCTTTCTCTCTTGCCTATTTGGAGAGATCAATGGCTTTACTCTCGATCCCGCACGTGAATCTTTCTCCCTATTCACATATTAAATGAGAGATGAATGTCTCTATTCTCGAAGCTTTTCCTCTTTCCCATTTGGAGAGATAAAAAAATCTCATTCCCCTTTATTGTCTGTCTCTATTATACTTTTAGAGAAATAAATGTCTCTGATGTCGTCAAAAGTGTCTTTCTCCCTCCGTCTCTTTTTGAAGACATAAATGTCTCTCCTCTCGTCGCGATGAAGAAATGTCTTTCTTATTCTTTTGGAGAGATTAAGATTTCTACTCTCGTCTGGATTAAGACATTTATCTCCTATTCTTTTAAAAAGATTAAGATATCTAATCTCGTCTGGAATAAGATACTTCTCTCACTTCTTCTTTCGGATAGATTAGCTCCACTCGAGTGGAGATTAAAAGATTTCTCTCTTAAACATTTGGAGAGATTATAGTCTCTACTTTCATCAGGATTACAAGATATCTCTCTTATTCTCTTGAAGAGATTGCCGGTTTTAAGAGATTTCTCTCTTATTCTCTTGGAGAGATTAAGTCATCTACTCTTGTTACTGTTAAGAATTTTTCTTATTTTGGGTGATAAAGTTCTGTAATCTGGTCGGTTAAGGGTTCCATTGTCTTACACCTTTGGAGAAAGGTTACGGTCCCTAATCTCGTCGCGAGAGTTTTTTGTTTTTTTTTAATCTCTTACTCATTTGGAGAGTTACGTCACGATTAAGTGTCTTTCTCACTTCCTCTTTTGGAGAGATAAAAGTCTACTCCCGTCTTGGTTAAGGGTTATTCTGTCTTACAGCTTTGGCGACGTTAAGGTCTCTATTCTCATCGGGATTAAGAAACTTCTCTTTTATCCTTTTGGGGAGATTAGGGTCTCTGTTTTCGTCAGGATTAAAAGATTTCTCTTATTCTTTTTGGGGGATTAAGATCTCTAGTCTCGTCGGGATTAAGAAACTTCTCTTTTATTTTTTTTTAGTGAGATTAAGACTTCTCTCATTCTTTTGGAGAGATTAACGTCTCTACTCTCGCCATGATTAAGAGACTTCTCTCCTATTCTTTTAGAGAGATTAAGGTCGCGGTTAAGAGTTTTCCTCTTTTACGCGTTACGTGTGACAAATGTCTCTACTTTCCTTGTAGTTAAGCGTTTTTAACTCCCTTTGCATTTTTGCCAGAGATAGGTCTCCACTCTCGTAGCGGTTAAGTATTTTTTTTCTCTTACGTTTTTTTTTTTTTTTTTTTTTGAGAGAGATAAAGGTCTCTACTCTTGTTGCTGTTTAGGGGTATTTTTTTTCCCATTTGGAGAGATAAGCATCCTTACTCTCCTCCCAAGTAAGGGATTTTTTTTTCCCTTTTTTTTTTTTTTTTTTTTTTTTTGAAGCGGTAAAGATCTCGTTGTGGTTGAAGGTGTTTTTTTCTCTTTCCCTTTTAAGATATAAATATCTATTTTTCTCCCTCGTGTGCCTCTCTCTTTCTCTCTCTCTCTTTCTCTCTCTCTCTTTCTCTCTCTCTCTCACACACACACACACACACACTCTTACACTTTTGGATAGAGAATGTTCTGTAATCTCTTCATGGTTAAGGATTCCTCCCGCCATTTTTGTTTTTTTGGGGGGGATACAGATCTCTACTTTCGTCGTGGTTAAGATTATTTCTTTATTACTATAGGGTGTTCAATAAAAAAAAGTCGGTAAATTCAGAAAGAAATTTATTTAGCTATTCATGCACAAACTGAACAATCATCGTAGATGCTCGAAATGTTTGCTTGAATGTTCAACACAGAGTTGTAAGCGTGGTAACCAGGAGGAGGCAGTAGCTTTGCAGATAGTGTCAAGAGGAATTTCATTTCAAGCTTCAGCTAAGTTCCACTTCAATGAATCAATATCGGCGATGTCACGACGACGGTTTCGCATTTAAGTT